GCTCCAGGATCACCTGCACATGACACCTAGGAGCAGAGGACTGCTTGCGAAGACTTCACCTTTACCTCTCTGAACCCCAAAACCTGTACTTCCACCCCCCCAGTATGTGTATTATCAGTGTAATCTTTAAAATGTAAACAGGTAAATGGGTGGTAGGACTTAGGACCCATTGTTGTTTTATTCTTTAGTTTGCCTTTAAGATACCCTGCCCGACCCCAGACCTTTGGACTCAGTGTGTGTGTATGTAGGTGGGGAGTTTGGAAATCTGTATTTTAAATCCGGGGTGACATAGCCCTGCCAGGTTCAGCTGTGTCCTGGACATAGCTGCTGGGTCATTCCTGGTGAGCCATGATTCATCACGCCCTGGAGTCTTGCGAGTGCCAACTTCCTCCTGCCAAGCCCAGAAAAACACCCTGCCCCAGAGGAACACGCTGGTCATGCTCGGACTTCCTCAAAGCCCAAGGGACTGAAGTTGGGTGAGCAGGCAGCCCTGGAGCGGGGGCTGGGTCCTCTGACAGCACCAGCTGCCCTCAGCCTCAGGGCTGGCTCTGAGAAGCCCAACGCCATTGGCCACCTGCCTAGTTAAATCTGGAAAGGGGCCAAAGCAACATTCCCCCTCTGCCGAGTATACCAGAGGTCCCTGGACAGTGGTTCTCTACTGGCAGACCTTGAAAACTCTTGATGCCTGGGCCCCACTCCAAGGAGTCCCATCTAGTTCTCAGCCTTACCATGGCTGCTTCTAATATGCAGGCAGGTTGAAAAATCAGAGGGAAGAAAGGAGATGGGGGAAACTGAGCCTGGAGGCTAGTGCAGAACCCAGGAGAGAGCCCCACAGACTCTGAGAAGGGAACTTCATCCAGCCGGATGACACACACAATGGCCGCATCTGATGACTAACATTCGGGTGCTTACCATGTGCCAGCCATCATCCTGCATCTTCATCTCACCACAGCCTCCCGGCAGGGACCGGGAAGACGGCCCAAGTGGTAAAGCTCGGACTCTCACCTGCACCCCCTCTGACCCCAGAGTCCTGCTCTTAACCATCATACCCCGGCTCTTGACAGACTGAAGGCCCAGCAGGAGGAAAAATAGAAATTTTGTAAAAACCTTTTATGTAGAAAACTTTTAAGCCACCTTTTTATCCACTCATTCAAGAAACATCCATACCTACCTTGAGCCTGGTGCTGACATCCGGAGAGTCCAGGTTTTGACACTGGCTGCAAAATCAGCAAAGTAGGTCACACACAGCATATGTTTAGTAAAATAGCAAGAGACTATAAGGCAGAGTGCATCATATACAGAAAGATACGCACTGTTTTTTGAGATTCCTGTTTAAGGTGTGCGTATGCGTGTGGGTGCGCGCGCGTGTGTGTGTTATGTGCACACCCACGTGCATATTAACAGGTCTTGACAAGAGAGGTATTTCTTACTGCAGATCACAGTTCAAAAGGAGAAACGCTGAGGTGGGCAAGAGGCAAGCCTTCATACATCAGATGTGATGGTGTAAACAAACTCAGTTCTATGCAACATTTATATTAACTCAAGAGGCCCAAAAGAACAAATCAGAACCTCTTGGTAGTTACAAATTTCTAGATACACTGTGAAATTCATACGGCCATCGTGATCTTGAGATTCATCATAGAAAGGAGAGATTGGAAAAAAGCAATCCTCCTCCTTCCATTCCCTCAAGGACACTTTGAAAGGTGATCCTCTCCCCCAGGGAATTTCAGCCCTGGCACCAAACCCCTGATGAACAGATAGCAATGGTCTGAGAATCCTCCCTCAAACCTCAAAGTTACAGTGGCAACATACCTCAGTGCATTTATGGAGGACAACCAGATTATAAGTCCACAAGCAAATACTGCTGAGGCCACTGGGTGCTGACAGAAGCCCAGGGACACCAGTGGTAGTTGGCTGCCCCAAGGACCCCCAAGCCCTTCTTCTTGAGTCAGCCTGCAAAACTCTGTTCTCAGCCTACTGTGCCCTCCATGTTACTGAAGCTAGATAAACCCTAGGGCTCCTGAAGCTCTCAAAGGCAGCTCCATCAATGATCTGACCCCTAAACACTTCTAACAGCTTAGAGAACACACCTGCCAGACCTAAAACAAAGGAATGCCACAGCCCTCACATACAACTACAGTTGTGCAGCAGGGAGGGGCTGGCACCAAATGCCTCTGCCCTGCAGAGCAAGCGCAAAGGAACCCAACACTCCCCTCAACTTGGGTTTAAGAGGCGTGGCTCCCCCAGCTGACAATTAAGTTCTAAGAAGTGAGGTGGCTTGTACTGGCTGACCTGTGGCGTCTCCTGCGTAAGCATTTGACTTCGGTTTGAAAAATAAGATCTCATTCACACCTGGACAGGCCCCTGCTCTGAAAACTAACCACTTCAGCACACACAAGCTTCACTGGGTGCTTGTTACCTATCTCCTGGTTTCATCCAATTTCAAGACTAGAGCTTCCAAGTTCCAGTCTCCCACTATGACATGTTACTAAAATGCTTTATTCAATATTAACTCCTAATTAGCCACCAACCAACTAGCATATTCAAATGGCTACATTGAAATATAAGAAAACTGGGGCCGGTCCAGTGGCGCACTGCTACAGTGCGCCTCTTGGGAGCGTGGCGGCGCTCCCGCCGAGGGTTCGGATCCCACATACAGACCGGTTCCCGCTCACTGGCTGAGCGAGGTGCGGGTGCAACACCGAGGGTTGCAATCCCGTTGCCAGTCCCGGTCCAGTACGGGCGCAACACTGAGGGTTGCGATCCGTTGCCAGACACGAAAAAAAAAGAGACAAAAAGGGGGGAAAAAAAAAGGAATATAAGAAAACTGTTTGGAGGGTTACTCTCTAAACTGAGTCAGTTTTTACCTTTGGGGAGGGTGAAGGAGGAGGACAAGTCAGAGAGGCCTTCACACTAACACCTGACATTTTCATTTTCTTCACAAAAACGCAAGTGTTAATTTGTCAATGGCACACTGAAATAAACCAGCAGCCACCTTCCAGAGTTCTCAAGGGCTCCAAGATGGGAGGAGGATTATAAATGTAGACGTAAATGTACCAACTTCCAGGGAATTAGAGTCACTAGGGTTCACATCTTTTTCTTCTATTACACCTATGTCACAGATGATGAGACTGAGCTGAGAGGCAAACTTACCCAGGTTCCCATGCTAGTGATGTAGTCAGCAGTCAAACCCACATGGTAACAAAGAAAACCTTCCTTTATGAGAGGAAAAAGCAAATTAAAATCATAAGACCACTTCTGCCTGCAGGAAACATAGATACCCAATAAGGGCTAAGATGTAGGGGCCAGGCACTCATATGACCATGTTTTGTTTTGTTTTAGTTTTCAGCTAGCCAGTTCAGGGATCTGAACCCTTGACCTTGGTGTTAAAACACTGCGCTCTAACCAAGCTAACTGGCCAGCCCCATAAGACAATGTTGATGGAAGTATTAACTGGTACCTTGCAGAAGGTACTTTGGCAGGACCTATCAGTATTTTTAATATAAATTCATTTGAACCAGAAATTTCACATGCAAAAACTTACATTATACAAACTTAAACTAGAATACTCACTGTTGTGATACTACTGATGGAAAACTGGGACCTGCATAAAGGCCTGTCCACACAAAGAAATACCATTCAGTCATAAAATTTCACCATATATATATATTTTTTTTTTCACCATATATATATATATATATATATATTTTTTTTTTTTTTAAAGATGACGGGTAAGGGGATCTTAACCCTTAACTTGGTGTTGTCAGCACCACTCCTACCCAGTGAGCTAACCGGCCATCCCTGTATGTGATCCGAACCCGTGGCCTTGGTGTTATCAGCACCACACTCTCCCGAGTGAGCCATAGGCCGGCCCTCACCACATATATTCTGATGGAGAAAGATCTGTATACACTATAAGCTGCTGTGTGGCTGGATTCTTGGCATTTTAAATATTTTTAAAGCACTAAATCAACACAAATAAAACAAAGTATCATCAGAAACCTGGAGAGCATCAGTAAAATGTTCCCCAGTTTTGCCAACAGCCACAAAACCTGTGTTGGAACCTGAAAACCCCCTCCGGTCACAGGCTGCTGTCTAGAGAGCATGCAGGCACCCTCACAGGAAGCAGAACCCTGGTCTTGCCACATCAAATGCACCAGCAGGACACTTGGTATGACAGTCAGCCTGGGTGGTCAGGCCTGCTCCTCTCTCAAATATTGTCCCCACTAAAACATCACATGCCTCAAATATTCCAGAGTGGAGTCTGGAAGCTAGCTTTATAGGGTAAGGCCATCTGAACTATCAAAGCAGACAGATTTGGGGGCGGTGGGGTGGGGGAAGAAGGGCAGCTATTGTAAACATCTGATCACAACTTACTTTAATAGATGAATCTTAACTATAATTTTTAAAATAAACAGGGGTTTCCTATGGCAAAACCTTTCATATCACTTCATTCCAAGGGTCCAGATTCCCTCTGAAGATTCCCAGCCTCGCCATAACTAGACCCCTCAGTAATCAAACTAATAACTGAAGTCAGGTTATAACTACATGAAACAAAATGCAATGAGATTAATCTGCTAACACAGACACCACTACACCCCTCAAAAAATCCAGGTAGCAGTCATGCCAAAACTTAATGATTGTGTTCACAGTAATTTTCTAAAATTAACTGTGCTGCCCATGTCCCTGGCTACAGGCCCCATTTCAAAATCACCACTTGGCATCTCACACCTTCCCTGCACTCAGGTTGACCAACGCTCCAGGACAGACAGCCACCCGCCTCTTACTGTAAAGGAAGCCAGCCCAGTTTTCATTGCTGAATGGAAACTTTCAGCCCAAAGCCACAAGTATTCAAGTTTAATGAGTTTCAATAGCCCTTAGAAAAAAATTTATAAAGCTAATCCTTTTTGAAAAGCCTAAACTTCATTTGATTACATCACAAAGCTATTCAGATGTAATAAGCAAAACAAAACTGCAGACGAGCCCCATCATCTTTTGGGTTTTTTTTTAATGATTTATTCATTTTCTGATTTAAGGTATGTATCACTACTCCAGTTTGGTAAACCACATTGAAGAATCTGACTGTGCGTCTTTAGGTTCAGCCAAATGCTTTCCATTAATTTTGATCTATAAAATACTAAACATTATAATTAAGTCTGTAATACTTCAGCCATGCTCAGAATGCTGCGGTGTCAGGGTGAACTCAACCTGCTTATGCCAAGTCTGGGCGACAGAAGCAGAACTCATGAGCTATGACATCTAAAACAAACAGAGAACCTAGCTTAACATGAAGAGAGGTTCTGTTCCCCAAACTAAACCATGAAGTTTTAAAAGTCAGCCTACACTGTTCTCAAGAGACTGAAAAAGTCAGTATTATTTTTAAAAAGTACCACATAGTACACAATCTTCCATGATTTGTTTTGCATCTGAGCTGGCATAAAGAAATGCTTCAAAAATCTATCTGTAAGAACTGTTTTCCCATGAGAAATTATTTCCCTTTCTATTCGTGGGCCTCAAGGTGGTTCTGTGCACATGAGAGAGCAATGGGACAGAGAAGGGGGAGGGTTACGATTAGGTGACAAATAGCATTTGAAATTAAATGAAATGGAAAAAAAGTTACAAATGTTAAAGTTTTTAAAAAGTTTAATGGAGCCAATAAGGCATATAAATTGTGTTCTGGCAGACATTAAGACCTGCTTTCTCTCACCAAAGAAAATGGCACATTTTATCAAAATTTGACAATTCAGAGTAGAGGGTACTGAGATTAAGCTTCAGAGCACCAACTTAAACAACCAAAAAAACTCATTCAACTTGGAAAGAGGAACTAGAACCAAGGCATAAAGAGGAGATTAAATATGTTCCTCCATCTCAAAATCCTCTAGGAATAGGAGTTCTGGTCACTAGTGAGCAACGTGACACACCACAAAACCCCTATTCCAGAACCTAAATTTACAACGATAGAAAAACAAAGATAACTCCAGATGCATTTCTTGGTATATTCCAAAGGGAAGTTTGGGAGTATTTATAATACATAGGCTTGTCCGTTTAAGGTAAAATGACAGATTGCTATAATTCTTCCTGCTATTATATTCAAACAAAAACTGACCCACTTTTGCAGAAATTTAGAAATATCTCACTTTCATTCCTAGATTTAGTATGGAATTCACTTTTTTAAATAAGGGCTATATCTATAATGAATACAGAACTTCAATTCACACATTTCTAACATTCCATTCATATCCCACCCAGTCAATGAATATTATGGTTAACTTAGCAAAGTATCTTCACAGAAAGATATTATTAAATAGCTGAAGAAATTGCAAACTTTTAACAAAGTGCTGTGAGTAATTACTGGAAAAACCCTTACACTGATTTGCAATGGTCTTTTAAGGATAAAAATAGGAAGTAACTGATACTCGACTACAAGTCTGCAAGGAAACATTTTTCACTGTCCTACTTGATATATAATATAATATGATAGAATAAATTACAGTACCTGGCAGGCTGACATCAGTTCTTCATCTAAAAAAGACTATCATTCAGTTCAAGATATTAAAAATGAAGATGAAACATGCTCTAAAACATTGTAGCTACAAGAGGTCTTATATTTACTCAAAAGAGGAATCTATTGAGAACTTTTACTTAGGTCTACCTAACATCTACAGAACCTCCATGCGATTCCATCTTTTCCAGAATGGGATTCCAAACTGCACTTTTTAGGAGAGGGATATAGGAGGGACAGGGAGAGTTGGGTTTTGCTATTTGAGCTGTGATCACATTAGTAGTAGGTAAAACAGTTTTACCATATTCCACCCATTCCAATGGAAACTTCGAAAAGTAGGGCATCCATGAAAAATGTAAAACAGGATAAGAAAGACTGGAATACCCACCCCCCCACCATCCATCTCCCTCTCACTAATACTGAACCAAAACGGAAGCCCATTCTCAAAGTTCATGACCTCTCTACTTTAGGTCACCTTGAATGCAGTCTACATGTTTACATTTATCATAAGTACCCCACATAGGAAGTAGTACCTGTCTTAAAACTGAATATTTTAGGCCTACAGGGTTAATCTGGGGGCAGTTTAATAATATTGCTACTTTTAGAGCACTAACACACACAAAGTGAATTCAATAAAGTTCTGTGTATTGATTCAATATTAAGTATTAATTGCATGACCATCATAGCACCTCTTTACATTACACAATCACCAGAATTAGAAACTGCTTTGAAAACTAAAAACAGGGCATAGTCCAATAATTAAAAGTTGCACACTGTTAATATAGAAACCAGGTGCGTGGTACAGTGCTGCTGCAAAAATGGAAGCCAAATTGTATTTTTAGACAATTTTAGGAACCTGGCAATACTGTTGAAGCAAAATACTCAACACAGCAGGAATTTTTTTTTAAAAAAGGCATTCTATAACCAAATAAACATCTGATTATTTCCTTTCCCTTTGAGAATAAATACAGTTAAGGTCACTTTTAGCCTTGGAACGGATATGTTTGCCTATGATGATCTTGCTAAAGACTACACGATATCTGATGTCCTCTGCTAGGATTATAGTTTTATGAAAGCCATAGTTATAAGAGGCATCTACTGTAAATACCTACAACTTCCTTTTATGGCAACCACTATAGAATTCACTTGTCTTAAAACAGTGAACAAGGGAAGATGGCCTCATGTTTCCTTTGCAATAGTATATATGTTGAGGATCAAGTGGCTTTCAAGCAGCATGGTGGGTGTGAAAATGTTTGCAGTTTAGATCATTCTGTTGCGTTTATGGGTTGGTGAGTCTGTAATGACATCGCCACACTGGGCTGAGGTACGCTTTCTAGTTCCACCATTGTCCAAGTGGAGTGCCATTTCTTCTGATATGAAAGTGTTCAAATCGACATCATGGAGTCCATTTCTCCTTCGACTAGCATTCGATCCACTGCTTACATGTGTAGGAGAGCCTGGGGTACTCGAACGCACGCTTATACTAGCCATTGCACCACTAAGACCTAGGAAGAAGAAAAAAGGTTTTTAGAGTTGCTCAATTATTTAACCCTTTTGAAAGCAACCCACTTTACTTTTCATGTTGTCATAGTGTCAAAGGATGTCTGCCTATTTTCTTTATAAGGGCTCACTAGAAAGCAGTTAAGTTTTATTCAGGAAAAAAATCCACCTGGTTTTGACATGTTTTATTGGTAATACTGCCAATATTTACAATATTGGTAGTACTACAAACTACTGAAAGCTTACTATGTGTCAAGCACCATGCTAGGTGTACAAATATATCATGAAATTCTCCCATCTATTCTATTGGGCAGGTACTGTATACAATTTACAGATGAGGACAGGAGGTGCTGGCTTTAAACAGGACATTTTGGTTACCCAAAGTCACCATTCTAAAAGGTCCCTCTGATGTGTGTATATGTGTAGTGCACGAAAGGGAGCAAGAAATCATTTCCAGGTCTGAGTGGGCTTGTTCCGACATCACCTCTAGATAAGGTGACCACAAAACTTATCACTCAAAATAGTAACCATTAAGCCCGAAAAAGGGTCACTTAAAAACTATGCTGGGACATCAGGTACAAAGTGGGCCTGCCCTGGACAAATGACTACCCAAAGTCTGGACTGTATTTGGTAAATACCCCTTGGGACAGCCGAAATCAATATCTCTAATCCTCTGGAGAAGAGAGAACAGAGGAGTTGAAGAAAATCCTGCTGCTTTGCTTTCAAAGTTAAGAGTTATTAAATGCAGAATATACCCAGCACTCGTCACTGTACACTCACTGTTTAAGACTCTTGACTTAGGTTCCACTTCTAAATGTTGAGATAAATATATGAAAGGCATGAGTCAGGCCAGGAAACAGAAACCATGGCATTAAATTTTAAAAACTAACATCACTAATAGTGGATTTTCTGCCTTGTGATATGCCGGCCCTGCCTAGGGATTTTGTTATTGCTTGATTAAATTTGTAACATGATCTAGTATAAACAATTTTTCCAAACAATAGGACTTGTATCTTAGACTTTTAAATAAGCTAAAAGTTTGATTTGTTAAGGGTTTTGAATGCTGTTTAAATTTGAAAATTAAAAGATGAGAAAAGATTCTCTGCCTCCTACACCACATCCTATTAAATTCTTCTTGACGTTCTCACTCTACACTCTTGGTACAATGTTCTCAAACCCCTGGCCTCAAGCACCTCCATATGCTGACAATAGACTGCTCTACACTTACTCTAGGTGCCTCCACTCTTTCTGCACTAACCCAACCAGTCCCCATGCTGCTCTCTCTGTAGAAGATGCTTCCTCCCTTCCCACTGGTGGCCAGAGGAAAGTGGATCGTGTTCCTCTTTAGCTCAAAACCTTTCAAAGGCTAGCACCTACTAAAAAGAAAAAACGCAAGCACAGATGTCAGAGTACTTCCTGCATCAGGCACTATATAAAGTACTTTTTAATCTTCAAAATAACCCTATGACATCTGTATTACCTCCATTCTACAGATGAAAAGCCAAGGTTAAAAGGTTAAGTAATGCACCCAAGGTCAACAGGTAGTAGGCAAGAGCTAGGACTCACGCTCAAGTAGAATCTATATTCCTATTCACTGTTACACTGTCCCCTCTTGAAGTATGAATTACTTTGGCAAGGAAATGGCTTCAGGGTCTATAGACAGGCCAGCCTGTCTCTTAGGCCTCATCTCTTTGAATGGTTAGTTACTCTCCCTTCTTGCTCTCTTCGCCACCCCCCAAGACTGAAACATGCACTACCAATATCAACTGATTTGCAATTCTTTGAAAGTCAGACCTGCACTTCCCTTCCAACACTTAGTCCCTAAGTGAGGCCCACTAGCTCTCTGGCACCTCCCCTCTGAGGTTTCTGTCCTGGTTCTCCTACCTCTCCTTAAGTCTCTTGCTGGCTTCTCCTCTCCCCTCCTGCTGGAAACTCTCCACTCCTTCCTGTTCTCCAGCCTGCCAGCTCCTTCCTCAATTGCCTCTGTGGGCTTCTCTTCTGCCCCCAAAAGACTTTTGTCACCCAGGTGATACCCTCCACCACTTAGCTTACCCACAGGCATCAGTGTTTTCCAAATCTGTACCACAGGAGAAGACTTCTCTCCTGAGTTCAAGGACCCATCCATATTTCTAACTGCCTACTGGACATCTCAAACTTATCTTCAAAATGGAACTGCACCTTCTCCTCCCCAACCCACAGAGACTTAAGGGGAAAAAAAAAAAGGAAAGAAACATCTTGGGTTTTTATATAGAATGATACAATCACCCATCTCTTCCTATAGACAAGTGTCTTTTCATCTCTAATGAACTTAACATGGTGCCTGGCACATAGCATTCACTGCAATTTGGGGGGGGAGCCTTCAAAGTCCTACCCCTCTTTAAAAAATACAAGGTTCTGTTGTTTATTCATCTCTCCAATGCCAGGAAATAAACCCGGGTGACTCTCTTCACTTAAACCATTGCCACCAAGTTTAAAACTCAGTTATCCCCAAATTTTGGGCATTTTTTAAAAGTTCTACACCAAGACTGTGATCTTGAGGGGAGAGAGATGTGCCTTCTTCCTAATCCCACAGCCCGTAACATTCTACTAAAAAGTGCCCACATACTTTAATAACCTTTTCGTACTTGTTTCATAATACAAAAGGTTCCAAGGTAATTATCCTGCAAAATTTGGGCATTCACAGAAATAAACTGGGATACTTCGGTAATTAAATTCAGGACCCCCTTTATCATTTGAAACCACAAAAAGAATTCAACAAACCCCATCCCAATGCCCTTCTTGTTGAAGTAGGAGTCCTGAGGCAGTATATTTAATACCTGACAATTACCCAGGGCTCATAAAACACTCCATACGTGGACTAGGTAGGCACTTCAAGCAAATGTTTCTTATTGTTTCAACTGCTATTCTCCATGAAAAAGAAAATATATTAAACATCAATTTGGTCAAATTTGAAAATTCCCCAGTAACTTCTAGAAAATCAATTTTTTTCTTTTGGGTGTATAATTTGGGGTTTAGTTTGACAAATAAAATCACAATATGCAATATCACCTATTATCTACTCTCAGCAATGAAAATCATTTCAAAGTCTGACTATCTAATCTTACCCAAATAGACAAGTGTCAAAAATAATTAAGATTAACAGCCAAAAAATTATGCATTTTAAACAGCCCAAATTTTATTTTTAAACCAATGACAGCTACTAGAAGATGCTTTAGAAAACCTTAGCTAAGCCACATGAACAATCAGGCCTATACAAGTACAGAAAATCTAAGCATGCTTCAGAACTAAAAAACTAAGTGGTATGTCCTGAGGGCATACAACTTAATTTCTACCAAAAACACTTTTTCAAAAGGGCTTTGGGAATATCAATTGACAAAAGCAGTAGAACAAGTAGCATAATTAGACAGAGAAGTCTCAATTACTTAGTACAAGATAAACTCATCAGTTTTAAAGTTTCTGCATCCATTTTAAATGATTAGTGCAGGAGTAGAAAAAAAGATTAGGATGATTATTCATACTTTGTAAAGAAAACTCCCACTGGAGCTAAAACAAATTTACAGTCCAGGTCATAGGAATCCAAGTTACATGGCAAATTACGAAGAGTAACACATAGCTATATTGTCGTATGGAGTTCATGCTCAGGATGATTAAGAAAATCCTGTTTGCAGAATTAATTACATGTAAATCCAGTTTCCCACACAGAGTTAGGTCATCCTCAGGCAGAGAAAGAACAAATGCGGACCCAGTCAACCTCACTGCCTCAGTCCAGCAGCCAGTGGCCTGAGGCTTCCTCTACACTCACTACTTGCTTCCCAGCCCTTAAGCCCCTGTGAGAAGAGGGCTAGCCCTGGAGGTGAGAAGGCACACAGTTGATCCACCAGCACAGGTTCAGGGCCCTCTGCAGATCTGCTCCACCAGTGTTATCATCTCCTGTAGAAAGGGGGGGATTTGAAATCCCTACCACTTAAACATAGTGGGTATCATCCTGACTGTGAGACCTAAGAAACTGGCATTCTTGCACTGGAAATGAATTGCACTATTCAGATGTATAGCACTCCCTTCACACAAAGTTGTGTTCTGAGGTACCATGCCAAACAAGCACTTGTAGTGTCAATGTAGTGTTTTAGATGTATCAGGGGAGTTCAATCATTTTAAAAGGAACTCTATTAAGATGATTTTGGTAATTTGAAGTAGATACCACTCCCCACCCCAATCTGTAAATTATAATACTGAATTTTTATTGAAGTAAAGCACACTAAATCAAACCAATTACAAAGATACAAGTGTCACACCAAGAAAACATTTTCAGTTATGCTGACAGCCCAAAATGCTTTCCATTTTTCAAAGACAGTTTTTAATGCCATGGGAAAAATGCTCACGTCATTAAAACCAAAAAGCAAGATACAGTACCATATATGCAGTATTGATCTCAACTATAAAATAATTTTAATATTTATACATTGAAAAAAAAAGACTGGAAGAAAATGCACCAAACATTTAACTGCAGTTATCTCTATATAGTGGGATAACAAGATACTGAATTTTTTAATTTTTGAAAATTTTCTAATTTTCCAAGAGACTGGAAGAAAATGCACCAAACATTTAACTGCAGTTATCTCGATATAGTGGGATAACAAGATACTGAATTTTTTAATTTTTGAAAATTTTCTAATTTTCCAAGAAATTAATATTTATAAATCAGAAAATAAGAAAATTAAACTCAGATATTAAACTGCTTCATAACTACCAATGAATTATTAAATAAGTAACAGGTAAGTAAACTGGCTTTGAGGCATGGCCTCCTTTTTCACAATGAAAAAAATAAGTCCCACAAAATCTTATTGCTGGTTCAAGACAATTTTGTACTTTTGATGTTGGAAGCTTTAAGTCCTATCTCCAGAAACTTCAGTAGCTAATACCAAATCTTAATATACAGAAAATGCCAACTTTTCTCCGAAAATCTTAATAGTATCTTAATTGCCTTAATTGTTCTGATTCTCGGGCT